CGAGGCGAGACATTCACCTTTCATGCAGGAAACTTGTGAGTTTCACAATATATATATATATACATACATACACACATGTGTATATATATATATGTTTGCGTGCACATATGCACAGACAATATTGTGTTACTTAGCATTTTTATGGCATAATACTGAATTACGCGGATATTTGCCCAGCTACGAAGCACCAGCCTGGCCTCGCAGGACACGAGAATCTCTCCCAACTGACCGAGGAGTCTCCGTGTCCTGCGGGCGAGGTCTTCTTCATGCGGCTGGGTTGAAGGGAGAAACACTAGTGATCACTAGTGCCGGGAATGAGTATATAATGATCATCTTGATCACGTGAGGAGAAACAACATCATTACTTCCTCATTCCTTGGATAGAGGGCCCCACAGCACATTACCTTCGAGCCTCTGCGTTTGCGCACAAAACGAGTGTGATCGTTTCAACGGCTTCCCCCTGCAGATCCACCGGATCGCGGCACACCCATCGAATTTCAGCCGCTCGACCGGGGTGGCAAGTCTGCTCAAGACCTGAAAGGACACAAAGATCAACATGTTTGTCCAGGAGCTCATTCAGAGTCCATGGGAGTTCTGCAGGGTGTTACTGTGTTACTTTTGAGACCCGAAGTGAGTGGATCCATGCAGCTTCGTCACACACACACTGCACTCCCAGAACCAGAGTTCCGCCCGGTCGAGCGGAATTCCGTGCCGGCTGTGTTGCTTCGGATTCTTGACACGTCCAGGTTGCTTCATTTCCTGATGTCTCAGCTCAAGCAGCTCCGCAAGGACGGCAGCATCGACATGGAGGGCCTCGTCACTTGCCGTGCGGTGAGGCCATGGCTCGAACAAGTAGGCAAAGAAGGGCACTAAACCCCTGGATCCTTGTTCTTTTTAGGACCTCAGGTGCCAGAGACCTACAAGTTGTTGGTGACCTGTTGGATTGTTTTGGTATAGATGCCATGCGAGTACGCAGACGCAGCCGTCGGATGCCGTCCTCCCCGACCGTCGGATGCCGAGGTCAGTGCTCTGGCCATGCTCCGCGTGAGGTGGGGAATCGCCCCGGCACCGAGGTCAGTCTCCAGCCGAAGGATTTGCGGGTCCCCGGAAACCAACACGTAAGGTGTTGAGGGTCTCAAACTCCGCTGCGAAGGTGGCTCCGTCCCATAGGGTTTCTGTGACGACGAGCCCCACGGGCCCGGACGGGCAGAAGACACCCAGCTTCGGGCACGGGAGTAGATGACACATACATAAATGATCATAAATGCTTAAACACACACACACACACATGCAAACACACATAAAAACAATACATGCATAATGAACTACATAAATAGATAGATAAATATAGATCAACGAACATCAACAGAGAGAGAGAGAGAGAGAGAGCTCCGCCAGGATCCCCTCGATGTCGGGAGCCCTGCGTTCCACGTGGCCGATCTTCGGAGTGCTTGCGCTGATCCAGCAGAGCCGCGGCGCAGATCCACCGCCGTAAACCGCTGGAGGGGTCGCTGGTTCAACTCCCTCCCAGGCAGATGACGCAGAACCCTTGTTGATGACACTGTGAGTAGGGGGATGTCGTGATGCTGACGCGAAGTGGCTTATAGTTGGTTTGTGGGTTGTACCTGGCGAATGTCGTGCAGACAATCCTACAGAGACCTGAAATGGAAGTCAGTCAAAGGGAGTTCTAGAGGGGAGACCTTCACGACCCTTTGATGGCCGCATTCTCTGGCCGTAGCTCCGGTTCAACAAGGACAGGTCTTTTGGTTCAATCACCAAGGAAACTCCTCAAGCTGGGTGTGGGCGGCGTGCGGGGCACTGGCATGGCGCTCCGCCACGGTGCAGCTTGGCAGAAGCACAGGCGATGCTGCGGGAGCCCATTCTTGGGCCTTGGCACCCGAAAAACCGAGACCAGGTCAACCAAATTCTCTAGGTCCTTGAAGGTCCTTGAAGGTCCTTGATCCATGGACAAGATGACACTGCCTCCTTTTTGTCTGAATCCCCGCCATCACACGAGAATCCGCAAGAACGCCGAGGCCGCGCCCTTCAGCGAAGCGCTCCTGCAATTTGCAGGCCGGTCACTCTTCCTTTCGTTTCGGCGCTGGGAGATGGGCCATTGGTTTTTTTCGTGGTTTTCACAGCTAGAGGGGCTCACACCGCACTGCTAAGGGTTCAAACCTCACGTGGGTGGCACATCATTCTACATTCCTTGGAAGCACCGTGGTGCCCTTCATATGTTCTTCTTTTTTGGCAGAAAAGCTCGGAAGTACCGTTTCTTTCTGGTTGCGTGTGAATAGCTGGAGCCCTTAAGAGCCGGTTGCCCCGGTGCGT